ATAAATAATATAATAAAAATTAAATTTTAATTTAAATTTAAATTTGTCGACTTACAGTGCTGAGATCCACGGGCAGGCCGCTGCTTGCCGCATTCAGCAACGAATCGAAGCCTTTGAAGATCTTGAGATATTCCTTAGCTTGATCGATCTCGCCCGCTTTCTTTGCGGCTAGGGCCGCCAGTTTAAACTCCCTTTGGCGCTCGAGCAATAATTTCATTTGTTGCTCAGCTAGATTGCTTTTCTGATGATTTCCGGAGGTGCGTGTCGTTAACTCCTTTGGTTGTGGTGGCGTTGGCGCTTTTCTTGCCGTCGTGGGCGTCGCTGAGGCTGAGCTGCCGGGTGTAGTGCTCGCTGTGGTTGGCGATGTGGGAGGTGTTGGATCCGGTGCAGCTGCAGTTGCTGTTGGAGCTGGCTCACTTATGGGCAATGGACCAAAGCCCGGTGGCACTGGCAACTCATCGTAAGCCACAGGCCGGCCAGCCTTGTATTGCTTTATTGCATCCTCGTACTGTTTGACAATGCGTCCAAAGCGACGCGCTTTGCTTGTATTGTTCTCCGCCTTGGCTGACTCTTCCACAGACTTGTATTTGGCCAAACGCTGCTGCAGTGCTTCCAGCATGGTTGTGGCTTCTGTTGCAGCAACTGGTGCTGGTGGAGCAGCAGGGGCTGGAGCTGGAGCTGGAGCTGAAGCTGATGCAGGCGCTGGTTCGGATTCTGTTGCTGATGCTGCTCCCTCCTGCATCTTCGCCATGAATGCTAGAAACTCCGCCGGAGGAGGCGGCATATCGCTTAGATCTACCTCCTGGCCATCCTCGCACATCTTCACTACCACATCGAATTGCTTGACCACGCGTAAAAATTGCAGAGCCGATGCAGTATCGCCACTGCGTTTGGCCTGCACTGCGGCTGCTTTATACTCGCTTTGACGACTGCGCATTTGAGATATCAGAGGGTTGACGGGCGTCTCAGATGCAGCTGCTGTTGTGGCTGGAGGTGTGCTTGGGGCGGGCGGTGCTGGAGGTGTGCTCGGCGTGGGCGGTGCCGGCGGTGTGCTCGGCGTGGGTGGCGCTGGTGCGGAACGTATGGGCAGCTTTGGTTGCTCTGGCTCCTCAAGCTGGGCTACAGATGCTACAGCCGCTCCTCCTCCCCCTCCACCAGCCGCCTTGACGCTCACCTCTGGCGGAATGTCATCGACATTAATGCTTTTGCCTGCCGACGACTGCTTCAGCAAATCCTGCAGTGTTTTTAAACCCCTGGCAAAGCGTCGAGCCTTGCCAGATTCACCGGCAGCTTTCGCATTCGCCTCTGCTTGTTTATACATCTCTATGCGCTGTTTGATTATAGACAATGTATCAACTGTTGTAGTGGGCAGAAAGGTCTGCACGGGTTCTGCTTCCTCGATGGGCGCAGCAGCGGGAGCTGGCTGTGTGTTCTCCTCCTCCTTCTCTTCTACGCCTGTTATTCCATGCAGTTCGCCAAGTAAATCGCTGTCGTTCTCCAATGCCTCATCATCATCATCATCGCTGACATCACGCAGGCTATCTGCAATCATTTTTTCTAATTCGCTGCTAGGCAACAATTTTGGCTTGGCCTTCTCTTTGGGCTTTGGACCACCGCCGCCGGCAATAGCCGCAAGTTCAGCCTCCAAGTCGCTATCGCCGCTTTCATCACCATAGCCAGTGCTGGGATCAAAGTCATCTGGTATTTCCGTCAGGCCAAACTATTTGCGGCCAAGCAAGAGGAGAGGGAAGTCAATGACTCATATTTCTAAATAGACAAAATATAGATGCTTGATTTTGTTTCATACCTGTGACAAATCATGCTGTCGGCGCTTCGGTGGCTCTGGCCTTTTGCGTGAGAACATGTTCAATTAATTTAATATATAAAACTCTAAATCTATGGCTCTGTTTAGGCACTAAAAGTCTTTGTTAAAAAATTTAAACACTAAATTGCGTTGCAATCGCCTAGACGGACAATAACAAACTTTGTTGTTATCGATGTAGTCGATAGCGATGGACGATGGACGAGATACCAAAAAATAGTTTGAATATCAATTCGATCTCACGGCTTATTTCAAGTTCAGATAATTGAATGGAAATCTCTTATATACATATTTCAAAATGTATAATCTAGCGATGTTTTAAATAAGATTATCCATCCTACATACATGTATACTAAAATATACTTTATTCACAAGCAGACTAATCGAGTATCTCATTTAATTAGATTGCAGAGCACAGATCGTGAAATCCCTAAGTATTCTCTGGTTAGTGCTATTCGTTACTCTTGAATAGTCACGGGTACGCAATAATCGACTATCGCAATCTCTAGGTACTAATATCGATGATAGTGCCACCACAGTGCACAACAGTTTGCGAAAATTTCGTGTAAAAATTTACTATTGATTTGACAAATTTGTGCTGTTGAAATTAAGACCAATTAGGAAATTGAGGAAATTACGTTGCCTATGCCGTGCGGCATGCATTAAATGTGTAAATAAAATTCTCTGGCTGAAGCTAAAGCAAAACGTTGCTGCTGCTGCTGCTGTTGGAATTTGCTGTTCGAATTGTCTTTCAATTTGGAGCCCCGTTTTTCCACCTACGCTGACGCGACGTTAAACGAAGCCGAAGCGCAAAGTGGGGGGAGGCATAGCACAGCTGAGTTAGCAGTAAAGCCAATATATAAACAAATAAAACTGTTGCCTGGCCTGGGGCGTGGCTAGCTTGATACCAAATAGTAATAAGACCCTCAACAAGTTGTTTGACGATGGAGGAGGTAACGCTCACAGAGCCAGAGACACGTTTCTATAGTGAGCTGTTTCAGTGCTGCGACGTGGAGAGCAGCAGTAAGGTGCCCATGCTAAAGGCAACCGAACTTTTTCGCTCTGCAGACATTGCCAACGAGACAGTCATTGAGGTAGGTTCAATAAATAAATTGACAGATGCCGTAATTAAAATTTGTATATTTCATAATAGATCACCGCTTTAGCTGGCATCCCTTCCACAGCTTTGCACATCTCTCGTGCTCAGTTCTATTCATGCCTTAAGCTAATTGCCGCCCATCAAGCGTCTGTGCCATTGCGTCAGGAGCTCATAGCAGCAACTGTGCCATTGCCCTTGCCGCATTTTAGCTGGAAGGAAGCGGCTACTACTTCAACGATTGCCTGTGAGAATGGCTTAGGTGCCTTGCCACCGCCTCCAACAAACGATCGTCGTAATTCGCTGCGCCGCAATTCCCAGCAGCAACAACATCAACAGCAGTTGGAGCAGCTACAGGATACCTCGGATGTGCCAAGTACCGATTCTGAAGTAGAGCAAAACGAATCTAGCTGCGGTGGCGACTTTGATGAGCTGGCTAATGCAGAGGCTGTTGGTGTCGTCAGCAGCAGCAGTCGCGAAACAGTGCGTGTAGCTTATCTGTTATCTTATCTGATATATCTTAAATACAAATACCAAATATATCTACTCACAGCGTCGACGTGGCTCACCGGAAGCGTGGAGCACAAACAGCGATAGTCCGACGCCGACAAATAGCGTCGCCGAGCGTCCTTGGGCGCAGGATACGCTGTGGCAAGGGCTGCTAGGAGATGAGCACCGTCAACTGCTGGGCACCGAGGAGGAGTCTTCCGATCGCCACAGCAGCGATGATGAGGACAACGAAAGTGAATTGATTACTCTCTATCAGATTACTCCGGAACAACGCGAATATTACAATAAACAATTTCGAGCAGTGCAACGGGATCCGCATGGCCTGCTTTCCGGACAGGCAGCGCGGTAAGCTTCGATATCTCCGAAATCATTGATATAAGTATTTATATATTCTGTTCCTTATATTGCAGCAATTTCTTTGAAAAGAGTCGCATACCCGTTGAGGAGCTGCGTCACATTTGGCAGCTGTGCGATGTGACACGTGACGGAGCTCTCAGTCTATCCGAATTTACGGCTGCCATGCATCTCGTTGTCTTGCGTCGCAACAATATACCATTGCCCAGCAGTTTGCCCCATTGCTTGCATCCGAATGTGCTGGCCAAATCGACAACGACAAACGCTTCGGCATCATCAACTATACCTCAAGAGCCGCCCGAGGCTGATCTCCTGCATTTGAATGATGACGATGACGATGAGCACACAGACAATACAATCATTAGCAGCACACAACCGCAGCAACCCAAGCCACGCCTCAACGACAAGAACATTATGAATCTGAGCAGCATTTCTACTTCCTCTCAAGCTAGCAACAGCAGCTCCAGGCGAGAGGTGACGACGCCTGTGCTTAAGCACCGCAGCATTTCCAATTCACCAAATGCGGAAAAGTCGATAACAGCTGCAGCAGCAATAACAACTGGAGCGGGCGCTGCTGCCAGCTCAACGAACGATGCCAGCCAATGGACGAAGTTTAGTGAATCTCCCACGACGACAGCTACAGCCATAGCAAGCGGAGCAAGTGCAACGTCTGTAGCTTCAGCTTCTGCTGCTGGTGTGCCTGCTCCTGCCGTTTCTAGTCCCGGTTTGAAACCAGCTTTGTTTGATATGAAACGCACTGCCCAGGATGTGGGCTCCAATCCGCAAATCTTGCATCCCGTGCCACTGCGTGTGACGCCCATAGGTAGATACTCTACTATATATATAGATCTATCTATAATGCATCTGCTTATCAAACAAATCTTCTTTCCAGGCACGGCTATTGCGTCTTCAGGCGATCCATCAAGTCAACAGGGAATTGCCGATGTGGAAGGCGTTGTTGTGCTGCGCGAGGACAGCCCCAAAGCCATAGCCACCACAACAGCAATACCAACAGCAACAGCAGCAATGTCATCATCAACAACATCAGCTACAAACAGCATACACAACATTCAGAGGGAAAGCAACGATCTGCGGGCCATTCAAAGACCGCAAGCAAAGAAGCTGCCAGCAAAGAATAATATTGGGGCATTGCCACCGCCGCCGCAAAGGGAGCCAAGCATTGGCTCCATTGGTCTCAGTGAGCCACCGGATCAGGCGACGCCATTGCCGCCGTCAAGCTATGCAACGAGCGTCACAACATCTGCCAAGAAGGAGCCACCGCCTTTGCCGCCGCCGCGTCCTCATCGACATGCACGCAGTAGCAGCTTAGACTTGAATAAGTTCAAAATTGGTGCAGCTGGTGCCCAACAGCCAGAGGTGAGTTAAAACATTGAATCGAACTATATATATATATATGTGTATGTTGTTTGTCTGTTGTCTAGTACGAGACCATGTCTAATAATCTGTTTAAATGTTGTGTTCCATTTACTAACAGTTAACAGTAACTGAAGGTCATAGGTGCCGTAGCTAACATCTCACAAGCCTGTTAATCCGAGCTGTCTGTTGTTAATCCTGATACTGAAACGCAAGTGTCTGTCGTTTAAGATTCAATTGAAATGCAGTATATCCAAGCTTAGTTAAAGGCATTGGGTCAGCGCTTAAACCGCTCTTAATAACATGAAATAGAACTACTATTTTATTTGGCTTATTTCGGGCGATTTAATTGTTTAAAATACATACTGTAACTACAACAAGCTTAATATCACTGACCAAAGTCTGTGATAATATCAATCGCAGCTATAGGCTTTATACACCACCACGAGCTTTACATTTAAATGTTAATGGTCTGCCTTGCATTAACATAACATTTTCTTAGCAGTGCCGTTAAATAACAATACAACAAATATTACAGAGAATGCTAAAATAGAGACGGTTGACTTTTAAAGGCAGATTTTACGGGTTTTTTGTAGTTATAGAAAACAAAATTCCTCATTCTCTCTCTCTCTCTCTCTCTTTCTCTCTTTTGGTTAACGATAATTAAAAGATAATTTTTAAACAAGTTTCTCAAAAGTTTAGTGTTCCATAACAATTTTTAATGCAGTGTGCACTTTAAGGAAAAAGAGAAATCAAATCTAAAATTATACCTTCTATAGAAATGCGAATTATAAAAAGTAAAAGTATTATTAATCAAGAGAAATTCCTTTTTTTAAATTTTTATTCTTATATATTTAATATTCCGTGTGTACTCACACTGTATTGTGAATTACTTGACTCTGTCATTATATAAAACAGTTTCGGCACACCGAATTATATTTATAACTCAAAGCTCCAATTTGTTTGTGAGACACACCTGCCCATTGTATATGTATATATTAATTTCTTTATTCATTTATTTATGTAAACAATMTGTAATATATATATAAATATATATATTATGATATACTATATATAAACCCCAACTTCAATTAAGATAACCGCGCAAGCCAGCTTCGATATGCAAACCTCAACGGGTTTTGCCGATTTCACGCACTTTGCCGACGATGCGAATGTTGTAAGTGTTCCAAACAAAGATACATATCTATCTATCTTGATATATAACTTGAATGAAATCCACAAATGCATTCACAATTGGCCGTAGCTTTTTACTACTGTATTTATGCATCCCGAAATTCAAGTAGCTTCTGCCCTTTTTGCTTTGCAAACAATACTAATACACTATACACTTGCAGCTGGATGCCAGCAACAACAACAACAGCAGTAGCAGCAGCAACAACAACAGTACAACAGCAACAGTTGCTGGTGCTGCTGAGCAGCAGTTGCATTCGCTGCCACCTGCACCGCCACCGCCCGCATTTGTGCCGCCCATATCTGCGCGCATTACGTTGCAGACGCAGCAGCGCGTTTCAGCTTTTGAAGTTTATCGCAAGCCACAGACGCCGGCGCCGGTAGCTGCCGCTGCACCAACAGCAGCAACAGTTGCTGGGCAGCTACCAAGCGCGGACAGCTTTGAGAAGCGTGTTACAGCAATCACCGATTCATTGCGTCATGTGTCCTTCAAGCAGAATCAAATGAGCACCACGGAGCTGCTGCAGCGTCTACGTGAGCAGAACACTTCGCTGCTGCATCTGTGCAACGACTTAAGTGACGAACTGCTCAGCGTGCAGACCCGCAAGGAGGAGATGCGTCTAAAGCTGGAGAGCCTGACAGGAGCAGGAGGAGCAGCAGTGGCTGTAGCTGGAGCAACTGTATCGGATATGGATGTCAGCACACGTGCCGGCTCCTCAATATCAGCGCCAATGACAGCGAATGTGACGGGCGGCTCGTCCGGCTCCACGGGTGCCTATACGAATGTTTAATTAAAAAACGGAAAACCAAGCAGCCACTTTTATTGTTGTTTCTATTTGTTGCAAATAGTAGAGGAAGAAGAAGAGAAGGTAAACATATTGTGAATTCCGCTGCTTAAGTTTTTATTGTTTTGCTATTTAATTGTAGGCTAGTTAAATCTCAAAAATCATGCAAACATCTTTGTCAAGCAACAATAACAATAATAACGCCTCTTATAGAATACATACATATACATATTTATGCAGATACAATTTATGTATACTTCTCTTTAGCACACAGAAAGCTAATTGAACTAATTGTTAAAAACTAAATGTGTAAATGTAAATGAAAAGGAAATCGAAGAACCTGTAGGAAAAACTGCACCCTAGTTGAAAGGTGATCACAAAGTGGCGCCAAATGCATTTGAAAACTGCAAAACTCTTTGAACATTTCTTCTTGGCTGATTATAAATACAATTTCAATCTTATATTTAGTTTGCCCCCAGGCAATATATCATTATTTATTAACAAATTCAGTTCTGCACATCTCGAAAAACGAAATGTAAAACTTATTTTCGACCTTCTCATTCATTCCGGCAATGAAAAACAAAATCTATAATCTTAATGTGCAAAAAGTAACTTTTCGGAAGCCAGGCCTAAATGTTTAAGTATTTTAAAAATGCAAAGTTATAAACAAAAAAAAAAAAAAAAAAAAAAAAAAAAACAAAAACAAAAAAACACATAAAGTAAAAATATGCAACCAATTTAATTTCCTTGAAAGCTTAGCTTAGGTTAAGTTCGTTTTTGCAAAAACTATTTTCTACGTATACACAAATTGATATTATATACATTTTGATCACAATTTCTGTAGGCATTTGTATAAACAGTTCAGCAAACGAAACGAAATCAAGAATTATTTAATTTACCCGGACCACTCAAGTATGCGAACTTCGAATTTATAAGATGATAAATACTTGTCTATCATCGTTTGAATCTGCGTGAGCGGATTTTCTTTTGCATACTTTAACTATTTAATATATAAATATATATCAAGAAATGTATATTATTTCCCTTGTCATCAAACAAAATAAATCTTTAACTTGTTAATAATTTTCAAATATTTACAAACTACAAAAACTGAATGCAGTGTTAAAAACAACAAAGAAAATGTAAGACAAACAAAAACATAAAGTGATATTAAGCACTATGTAATCATATTGTTACGTTGCAACGTAATGAATGCGTATTGTTTTGAGGGATATACATCTACATATATATTAAATAAATGTACTAAGTTGATGTTACAAAAGCTAAACAAAATGGCAATAAATAATATGCTGTAAAGGCAACATCTTAAAATTTGAAAATCATTAATAGTTGGCGCCGCATTTTATGCAACCCTGTTTGAGTTTTGCGATAACAGACGCATGGCTGTTATCGATTGTGTTTTATAGGCCGCTACACATCTCTAGCGCTTTGCGGCATTGGAGCAAATTTTCGCAAAATTTGCGATACAATTTGTACGTGTGAATTTGTTAACAAATCGATTGTTTAAATGGTGTAAATAGCATTAAAGAATTTGCTCCGTGCGTGCTTCATATATGTGAACAACTTTTGCACGACCTGCGAAAGTAGCAAAAGCAGCGAGCACTAGATTGAAAAAGTGCTGCTCAAGTGCAGGTTAGTTTACGTTTACATCGGTACACAATGGGAAAAATAGTGCTGTAAAAAATGTTAAAATATTTGATATGATCTATTCTTATTTAGTAAAGTGCAATCGTCAATGTTAATCGCGCTCTTTGCGCTTGCACATTTGCCAATCTTTCGTAAGCCATTGCAATCATTATCAAGGTGTGGCAAAGGCAAAAGCAATACAACAATAGCAACAACAACAACAAGCAACGCTCACTTAGCGGCATTAACAAGTAACTGTAATTCGCAGACAACTGGAGATATAATTCTAATTGGAACCCGCCTCAATATGAGCAACAGTAACGAACAGGATAAAGGAGCAGCAGAGGCCGTCGGCGCGATCGTTGCTGCCAATGGCAATCAGACGGATCCGAAGAAAATCGAAATAATGTATGTTGATCGCATTTAATTCTATTTGTTTTCATTAATTACAATATTTTGTTTTTCAGCAACTTTAAACCTTTTGATAAACAATGCTGCTATAGCATCAAAACGAATCATACGCGAGTTTATGGCTGCGGCGGCTCTCATACGCGTGGTTCCTCCAAGGTGAAGCTCAAGAATGTCGTTGACTATAAATGGGAGCATAAATACTATTATCCGGGTCATTTGGTGGCCGTGCATCGTGATGGCAAGCACCTTGCATATGCTATCAATGGTAAGTGGGAGATTTAAGCAGACGAGACTCGATATTAATACCAAATGGCTTTTTCCAGTTAACAACAAAGCCACCGGTATGGAAGGCATGGTGCGTGTGTGCAACACGAGCACCAGCCAGCGGGCACTCATTAAGGGCATGAATGGCGAGGTCTTGGATCTACAATTCGCACACAGCGAAAGGGAGCGCATCCTTGCGGTCATTGACATGTGTTCGCTGTTTGTGTATAAGATCGATCTAATCGATAGTAATTTAATATGCAAACTTGTGCTGAAAGTGGATGACCCCATTGCGAACTATGTGCCCGAATATGATATGGTCTCCTGGTGTCCCTATGTAACCAACGGCAACAGCAGCAATAACAACACTAGTGCAAACACTGCTACTGGCCATGAAGAGGATGATGAGAATCAACTATTGATTTGGTCGCGCAGTAAACAGTTCCAATGCTTCAATGTTAGAATGATCATATCAGAGTATGGTGTAAGTAAAGTCTGCCTGCCACATATAATTCTTTTCCTCATTTGCTTTCTACTATCTCTTTGCAGCGCGGGCAGATAAAACCCTCGTCTCTAGAAACGGGCTATTTAAAGATAGAAGAGGATACGTTAATAACCTGCGCTGCTTTATCGCCTGATGGCACTACCGTTGCGGCTGCTTGTCTGGATGGCTTAGTGCGTTTCTATCAAATTTACTTGTATGATGTGCGCAATCATCGTTGTCTGCACGAATGGAAACCGCACGATGGCAAGCCGGTGGCCTCGTTGTTCTTTCTAGATAATATCAACAAGCCAGTGGAGGAGTAAGCTCTCATTAAGTTCAAATAACGTATGTTTAGTAATGTTGGCTCTTTTTACAGTGCCTATTGGCAGTATGTTATCACCACCAGCGATCATAATACAGAGATCAAGTTGTGGAATTGCTCTCTATGGGAGTGCCTGCAAACGATTAATGTTATGGCTTCAGTACCCTCGAGTGTTCAGCCGAGCATGTTTATAGCTGGTATTGATCGCAGTGCCAACTATTTGGTTATATCCAGTCTGGATGCATTGGCTGTCTATGTCATGCAAATCAGCAGCTGTGGCGGCAATGAACAAGGCAGCGATAGTGGAGATTCGGAGAATGGCTGTGATGTTCATGGCTCGAGCAGCAGCATCGCGGGCTCCAACGATCCATCCATACGCATACAAAATATAGCCGAGTTCAAGTTAAGCTCGGGAATACTCTCTTTTTCCATAGTGAACGCGAGCATGCGTCGTCTGAAGAGCACCAATGAGAGCTATTATCCATTCGAAGAGCCCGATGATTATGATGACGAGAGCAACGCAACCACTGATGCTTTGGTGGTTCATATGTTCGTGGTACAAGCCAAGAGCTTGCAGGAATGCCAGATTATTTACCAGCCCTGCAAGCCAACAAGAAGTTTGAATAGCAGCAAAAGCAGCGCAGCCACAAAGAAACGTTCCCTGTCCCCAGATAACCTGCTCCATGTTACTGAGATTAAGCAGGAGCCATTGAGTAACTCGCCGAATTCGCATAACAGCAGCACAGGCAGCGGCTCGAGCGCTGTGCCACTCGATGCCCTTTTTGGTAAATCAAAACGCAACTCAGTTGGCTCGGTAGTGTCGGTTGCTATCGCTGCTGCGGCTGCACCATCGGCCATATTGCAGGAGCCTGCAACAACTAATAAATCACGTTCAGCTTCGCCACAGTATGGCAGCAACTATTCGCAGCTGAATCTCATGACTCCGGATGCATTTAGCGCTAGTGCGGCGAGTATTGTGCTTGTGAATCGAGATGGAGCTGAGACGAACACAACAACCACGACAGATCAATCGGCCATCAATTCTCAGGTGCTGCAGACATTGCGGATGTTGGCCACGGTCACAGCTAAGGGTACAGAGTCAGCCAACACCAATCTTTTGAATCTGATCAACAACACGCACATTGAGGATCGCGAGCAACAAAAGCTGAAGGAGCAAACGGATGCCCGTAAGAAGTTTATAGCCATTGATCGAAATCCGGAACGCAACGCAGCGGAGAATTTAGCAAGTGGTGGTTCCAGTCCAAGTCGTGAAGTGCAAGAGATAATGGCAACGCAAGAGGATACAGATGACTACGAACCGGAGCTGGTAGATCTCGAATATGATGAGGATAATCCATATTTTATGATTTGCAAAACAGAAAATAAGTGAGTGAGAAACGCTTACAGAAGAATTCGAATTTGAATATTTGTTATAGAAAATTGTAATTCTTAACATTTTCAGAACGGACAATGAGATAACCAATTCATCAACTGTCGAGGAAGCTGCTACAACATCAAATTGGTTGCCCCAGGATGCAAAGCTGCCCACTAAAAAATCGGCTGAATTGCAAAATGCGGCCCAAATTATGTCCCAAGCGGTGCAGCATAAAAACAATGGCAATGTACCGCCAACCTTGGGCAGCACCAGCAGCAATAGTAACAACAACACGGCAACAACATTGAACAGCAGCAACAACAATAACAGCAGCAACTGCAGTCATCCAATAGTTGAGAGCGCCACAGAAGTAAATGCGAAACTGGAACAACTTTTGGGTAGCTAAAGTAAAACTTTGTTAAATGATTCAATATTAATTGTTAATTGTTGTGATATTTAGAAATGGTAAAAGCGCAATCAGAGCAGCTTAATAAACTCGAGCACGAGATCAACAAGGTGCAACAGCAACAGCAGCAACAGTTGTTGCAACAATCGAGCGGCAGTACAGCTGCTGCCTTGCAGCCAAAGAGCGTCAACGAACTGGCATACAAAATCGAAATGCAATTATCCAAACTAATGGAGCAATATCTGAAGCGTTACGAGAACGAACACAAAAAGAAACTAACCGAGTTTCTGCACGCACGGTAAGAGAAGAGCGAATGAGTGTGGGAAGTAGAAATGTTCAAGAGGGCGAGAAAGAGTGAAAGATTTTCAACAGAATTGATAATTAATATGCAATGAATTATGTTTGTAAATTATACAGGGTATCCTGTAAA